GGCTGATCGTAAAACTCTGTCACTATTTTCCCAAAAAGCTGGGGGCCCTGAAGGTCCTGTCGACTAGGTGCAGACACCCCACCTCAATTGACAGTTCTGCTACGTCAGAGGTCTCAAAAAAAGAAGTCATGTAAGAACGGTATGTTTCCCAATTTACCTCCAAAACACCTCCGGAGGGCCCTTCTATTACAGGAACCCTTAACATAGGCTTTACGGTATGTCTGCTGCTTTAATTCTCTAAAACACTGATCCAAACTTCCCTCTATTCTATCAAACATTCCTCCGGTACCGTACCATTCTTGCTACTATATCCTTCTATCTAGAATTCAAATCCAAGGTCTCCAAAATCCAAAAGTGTGAGTTATCACCTCCCCCTTTGAACTCATAACAAGTAAGGAGTCGGCTCATTGTACCGTATCCTCCTTTTAGATCCGTTTTACACCTTGTCGGTCCCTTTTAAGAATTTCTTAGTGTATATTTTCTTTCCCAAAATGCATTTAGGGCTTATTGACAGAAAACTAGATAGTATGACTCCAAGCAATGACAGTAAACTGTACTGTTTCTTTGAACTTATTTATCTTGTTTTTTGGAGAAGATATCAGAAAGTAATCAACTGATAAAGTGTGTAGAACTAAATTTCACACGTTTTATCAGTTGACCACTCTTTGGCATCTTTATCAGGAACGGATATAATTGACCTAGAACTGTTTTGGAGGCTCCTCTTTGTTCGTTTAGTGTACAGTTTTAGGTTAGCATAGTCTCTCGTAATCTACTTACAGTATTCTCCTACGACATCATTTCTACAGTACCCTACTACGTCATCATTTCCCCTTGGTCTTTTGTCTAGAAAGGGGGCGTGGTCTCCCCGAGATAGAGGGGCCCATCGTAAACAGGCTCCGCCCCCTCATGTTGATGTCATTTAGTCATTCTTTTCCCTCATTCACTTGTTTCTTCCGGTCCATGGGATCTTCCTTTATATCGATCTCTTCAGTTATTCAAGACCTTCTAAATGGGGATTTCCTGTATTTTCATCTTTTCAATTACCCTTTTGATACATCCTTTTTAAAATCCACTAATCAATTTGTATACTTTTTAGAACCCCAAAAACATTATGCCACCAAGAAAGGAGAACGCCAAGAAGACTTACACCGAGTCTCAGAGAGCACGGAAAAATGCCTATGAGCAAGCCAGGAAAGCCAAGAAGAACGGTCCAATGGAGGAATTGAGAGCGTAAGTTGAATTGTAATTTATGGGTTCATTTTTTGTATTTTTCAGGCTGACTCGTCATCGCTTTGATTCCGACTTCCAACCGGAAAGAGTTGTGATTGTGGAAGCCGCCAAGTACATTGAAGAGCTTCGAAAGCTGCTGGCTGATTCGGAAGCAGCTCAGGAGGCTCCTCAGATGGAGATGGAAGACTTTGATCCCGAGCAGGCCGCTTATGAGATGTTCGGGTTGTCGCAGCTATCCAACATCGCCCAATCTTCTTCTCCACCAGCCACGGTCGTCCCAAACACCGCCATGTCTTCTGATGCCGCCTACAACCAGTGGAATGGATATCAGGAACAATATAGGATGTCACCACCATGGTCTATTGCTGAAAGTGCCACGCCGCCTACAGTCTTCGTCTCAAACAACTCCACTCCTCCTGATGGCGTCTACAATGGATCTGCTTCCCCACCATCCGTATCCAACAACACCTTCACGTCTTCTGAAGCTGTCTATAACCAATGGAATGAGTATCAGGAGCCGCAGCAATATTGTAAGTTTTAGAAATTGTTTTTTTTTAATTACTGATTTTCAACTTTTGCAGATTATCCACCGCAAGTCGATCTTCAACAGCAGCAGTACAACGAATATCTGATGAATGGCGGACAGTACTACTAATTCTTCTAAACTACCGTAATCTCATTTTTGTTCATCTCTCATTTCCATCCAATTTCCACCGGTCCCTTCAGTTCCGTTTCTTTCGTTTCCAGTCCCATCCCCTTGCCCTTTTTTCTTTCATTGGTCTCTATTTGTCTCTCCTTCTCTATTTTGAAGTTTATAACAATAAATAATCATGAAATTCAAACAGAATCGACTATTCCTTTTTTTAAACACAAAACATTGAAGTTTTAACAAAAATGAAGCAGCTTTGAAAACTTTTTTGAAACTTCATTTGACAGTTTTTCAGGAATTTTTCCCTTTTAAAATTGCAAGTTGTAATCTAAAAAACCGTAATTTTCAGTCAAATCCCTTTTATCATGTTTTAAAAAACTAAATTCAAATTCCCGCGCTTTGTCGCTCTCTCGCTAAACAACGCGCGCCTGGAGTTATCGGCGGAGTGTCGTTGTTTTTTTTCAATTTGGCAATTTTCTAGCTCATTTTCTGCATTTTTTAAAACCAAAAAGCATGATTTTTGCTGATTTTTTGTGTAGAATAGATCAGAAACTGCCTAAAAATCGATAAATTATAGTTTTGGCAATGAAAACGCGCCAAAAATTGCTGAAAACGAGTGTTTTTCCTCTTAAAAAAACATCAGAGCCTCGTTTATTTCACAAAGTACGGTATTCATGTGTATGTGTGTGTGTGTGTCTCCAGGAAAATATATATCGGAAGAAGGGGAAATTAACAAAAAAAACGCGCGAAAATGAAATAATTTAAAAAATTTCCGAAACAGAGAAAAGAGATAACTTGGGATGAGTGGTGGAAATTGGGGAGATTTTTTAGAGGGAATTTAAAAAAACAATAAAAAATTGAAAAGGAATAAAATTAATCATCCTCCTCCTTCTCGTGCTTCCTCTTACGACTTCTTCCCGGCTCTTCGACGCGGAATTCGATTGGGAACTCTTGATCGGCACCCAGATATGAGTCGGAGATGAAGAACAGCTTGAACTCGTGTTTGCCGGGGCGTGGAGCGGCGAAATCCAGTTGGACCGATGATTTTTCGTTGATGACCAGTCTGGAAGAACGGGAAAATGAGTTAGGCCATTTCTGGACCAAATTCATTTTTTGAAAAACTAGAATTTTCTAGGCCACCATGTTGAAAATGGCCTAGAAAACGCATCAGGCGAATAATACGCTATTTCTGGGTCAAATAGTTGGTGGCCTAGAAAATTCAGTTTGCAAAAGTTAGGCCACAATGTTAAAATGGTCTAGAAAACACACCAAAGGCGATTTATAGGCCATTTAGCTTGGTGGCCTAGAAAAATCACGTTAAGAAAGTTAGGTCACCATATTCAAATGACCTAGAAAAAGACACCAGGTGAGTACCAGACCTTTTCTAGACCATTTACCATGGTGGCCTAACTTTTGCAAATCGATTTTTCTAGGCCACGAGCCTTCATAGCTCAGAAGTGTCCTGGCCTTCATCAGATATGCTTTCTAGGTCATTGACCATGGTGGCCTAGAAAACTCAAGTTGTGAAAGTTAGGCCACCATGTCGAAATCCCAAGATTTCAAAAATTCCACTCACCTCTTAATCGTAAGCAATGCGTTGGATTCCTGATCTCCAACCACCAACCACCATCCCTCTTCCTTCCGTTTCTGTGGAAATAATGGTGCAACCACCGGCGGTGCCAGCCCATCAATATCATTATCTCTCTCCAGCGAAACAGCCAACATCAAGTTGTCCTGTGTGGTCACCGTTGAGCTCTCCAACTCCGTTGCCACCTCAATCGACGGGTAGTGGTTACAGAATCGTGCCACGTCAGCAAGCTCCGCCCCCTCCATTTGCAGAATCTCCGATCTGTCATCGTTCTCCAGCTCCAGAAGCTCAAACACTGATGTTACATCTTTGGCCTTGGCGCGCTCGATAAGAGCTGTGGAGCAGTGTGGAAGCTGTTTAAGGTAGGGCTCACTGGAGTACATGGCCTGTGTGAGCATTTGAGAGAGCTCCATAGCATGAATAGCAGGTGATAACCATCCGTTCGAAGAGAGCACGTCTACACAGGCTTGGACCAGGCGGCACGCCTTCAGGACGATTCCTTCGGTATCCTTGTTGAGTTCAGCGGTCAACTTCACACGAGATAGATGAGCATGAATTAGAAGATTGACCTTGACATGTGGATCTGTGAACTTTTGATTCTTCAACTGTCCTGGAAGACGTTCCGCAAGTTGTCGAAGGATGATGTCTTCCTTATGACGCATGGCGACGTTGGCGAATTCACTGGACGCAGAGATGATCTCGATGAGAGCGCGACTCTTCGTCTTCTCCTTTAGTGACATTGAGAAGAGTTCGATGGTTTGATAACTGATATAATAGTAGGATGCAATCATTCCCAAATTCAGGGATACGGTATCCATATCGTCCTTGATGGCGATGCATTTCGAGTTCTCCAAATCCTTCAAGGTGTTCTCGACGAGTTCTGAGAGAGCGTCTGATAGATGACGATGCGTGGTTCCTTGGAGATTGTAGTAGTTGGGGTTTTGGGTCATTCGGCGGTAGAGGAGCGTCCAGGTGAGGTACTGCAAAATTCGAGATGAGTTGGGGAGCATTAGAAGTGCTATTTTGATTGTTTCAATTTTTTGTCTGCAATTTTACGTCATGGTGTTTGCAGAAGCTACTGTATAATGCACTAAAAACTAACCCCGTTACCGTAAAAAAACTAACCCCGTTTCTGCTAACACCATCACGTCAAAATACAGACGAATTTGGAGCAATTGGAGCATTTAAAGCCTATTTCGGACCATTTGAAGCCTATTTTGAATCATTGTAGGCATGTATTGAATAATTTAAAGCCTATTCATGACCATTTTAGGCAGAAATAGGGCTAGCATGAGCATATTCTGGAGTATTCTAGCCGGACCATCAGAAGTCTATTCAGAATCTACTTACGCCTATTTGGACCATTTTAAGCCTAATTTGAACCGTTTTCGCCTAATTTTCAACTGGATTTCTCCAATTTTGGGCTTAATTCGGACCTTTTTAATTTTAAATTCGACCATTTGTAGAATAATTAGGGCAATTTTAAGATTATTGGGCCATATTCTTACCCCTGATTAAGAGGATTTTGATGGCTTCATGTACCGTAAAACCTGTCCTAAAAGGTCCTTTTATTGTTCCAAGCCCATCTCTGAGGGCGCTTCTATTAGAGGAGCCTTTCACTCAAGGGGGCCCTTCTATTACAGGTTTTACGCAATTCTAGTTTATTGTCTATTCAAAATAATCG